ACTCATAATCCTCCTGCCTCAGCCTCCTAAGGTGTAGGATTTACCCCACTCTTTTTATATCTTTTTTTTTAAAGAGAGAGTGAGAGAGGAGAGAGAGAGAGAGAGAATTTTTAATATTTATTTTTTAGTTCTCGGCGGACACAACATCTTTGTTGGTACGTGGTGCTGAGGATCGAACCCAGGCCGCACGCATGCCAGGCGAGCGCGCTACCGCTTGAGCCACATCCCCAGCCCGGATTTACCCCACTCTTGTAACTCATAATCATCCTGCCTCAGCCTCCCAAGGGGTAGGATTTACCCCACTCTTCTTAATGGATAGATAGCATTCCAATAATGGAACTGCCAGAGTTTAATCATGTCCCCATAGATGAAAATTTATTACCAATTTTCACCATTATAAATAGTGGTGCAATGAACATCCCTGTACATATCTCTTTGTACAATCAACCATATTTCCATAGGAAAAAATCAAAGAGTTTAAAATTCTAAGACAAAATGTACATACATTTTGACAAATCCTTATTCAAAAAAACGTGTGGCAATATTCTACACTCATAGCAATAGAGAGTGCCTGTTTTTCTCCAACATTACTTATGCCATGTATTTGGGATTCATTTTTTAGTCTTTTGACATCTATATAGCACTTTATAATAGCCACATTGCTTTTCCTGGTGCACAAACAGACACACAAAGCTTAATGATGTTTGGTGAATTGGAGGTTAGAGCAATACAAATTCATGTGAACAAGTCATAAGCCTTGTCTTAAACAATGATGTCTTTGGAACAGATAATGTGTATAAATGTGCCTTGTATATTACAAAGTGCTATTCCAATGTTATTTTCATGCATGGAATGTGGTCTTTTCACACTTATTTTTCATATATTACACAGGTTGAACTCACTACTTTTGTTTCACATTGTATATGCTTTGTTGTTAAGGCCAACAACATACTTTGACCATGTCCCCCACAAGCTTTAAGGTTTAAAGTGTGAGACTAACTGTGCCAGTCCTTCAGGAGGAAAGACATAAGATTATAGACATATGTGTTCTCTAATGATAGTAAAAATAGCACAATTGCAAAAGCTTCAAAGAATTAGTATTCCCTCTTGGATAGGCGAGTATTTTGGAGAGTTCATAGTCACCTATGTATTTAAGGATTTCTTAGAGACAGAGCTTCATGGCTTTAAATGGACCATTCTGGTGGGCATCCTACCCTATGTATATACCCTGCCTCCACCCTGGGAAGTGACAGTAAACTCTGCAACACTAAGGACTACACCCTTATGAGGTGTGTGGGGACTAGTTGAGGGCACTGAAAGTTGACCTAAATCCTTAGGACTATGATAGCAGAAAGAGGGTCATTATTCTTCAGCATCCATTTCCCCTGGCTCTAGAACAAGGAGTCAGCTTCTCAATGGGAGTAAGAACAGTGTTGGCAAGAGGAAGTGTAAAAGAAAGGGGTTAGGAACTTCCCTGATGGATTGTTTCCGGGGTCAAAGTTCATACAATCCTGAGTATAAATTTCTCCCTAGTTTCCTCCCCATGACAAAGTTTGAAGGTATGTGTTTAAGAACAAAATGAAATGAAGTCTGAAACTAAAAAGGAAATGTGCTCTTTTACCATACTCTCTCACACCTCCTTAATACTAACCTACAAATGCATAGAAGCATGTGCTCAGTTTCATCCCAGACTTCTAAGAACTTGTGCCTTCTCTTTTTACTGTGAATTGAGGGGTATTCTCTGATAAGAAGTGTTTGTGGGGAAAAAAGTTTGGTACAAACCCATTCATAGCTCAGAAAATACTCCTGAGACCAGGAACATATTAAAATAATTTCACAAAGACCAAAGAGGACTCAAGAGGCTTGGGTCATAGTTAAGACTAAGTTCTGGAACCTATGAGCCTAAGACTGAATCCTGGCTCTGATACTAGCTGTGACCTTGGGCAGATCACATGAATTTTCTTTTCTTTAAATATATTTATTAGTTGTTGATGGATCTTTATTTTATTTATTTATATACAGTGCTGAGGATTGAACCCAGTGCCTCACATATGCTAGGTAAGTGCTCTACCACTGAGCCACAACCACAGCCCAGGTCACTTGACTTTTCCATGCCTTATATTCTTCACCTGTAAAGTGGAAGATGATAACGATGATAACAATAGCTTCATCAGGTTGGTTGTAAGAATTGAACAAAGTAATGTGTATAAAGGACCTATGACAGACAAAAAGTGCCCAGAAATTCAAGCTATTATTCAATTCTCCCACAGTACCTCCCAGTTCATTCCCCCAAATCTTTAAAGTATTTGTGGAGCAAAGAAATTGACAACTGGGCTGGGGATGTGGCTCAAGTGGTAGCACAATCGCCTGGCTTGCCTGCGGCCTGGGTTCGATCCTCAGCACCACATACAAATAAAGATGTGTCCACCAAAAACTAAAAAATAAACCTTAAAATTCTCATTCTCATTCTCTCTCTCTCTCTCTCTCTCTCTCTCTC